TGATTACCAAGGAGAACCAAGTCTGCACCTGCCCTGTTTTGCCATTGCCCAGATTTTGCAGAAGTCTGAAGGGGCATTTGCCCAGGACTTAGGGCAGGCATGGGGCTCAAGGCACTGCCAGGCAGAGCATCCCCTGGGAGAACTGTGTCCCAGCACACACATACCACATAGGACAGGAGGGGATTGCCCATGGGAATGTGAGACAGGCAGGTAAACGGGCCTAGAACACAACAACCAAGTGGAGGGAAAGCAAAAAAGCACCAGGTGAAGGAACAGCCAGAAATCAGAGCTACTCCTTTTGTGCCTGCTCCACCTATGTTTCTTCCTGAACATCCTGACCCTCATGTTCCCATATATCACCTAAAGGTTTACACCTCTGAGACAAGCTCCATTCTCCTCCTTAGGAGCAGCAACAGGGCTTTCCATGGGCTACATCATCTATAGCTCCTGGGGATACACAGGGTGAGCTCTTCTTGCTCAATGATTGCCAGTCATGCCTCCAGTCGCGCTTGAAGGTGCAGCACCTTGATGGTCATTTGTTTGGCTAGGAATTAATTAGGAGATGGGCTCCAGGCTGCTGTGACAGCTGTCTGTGTGCGGCACTTCCCAGCAGTTTGATTAAATCTGCCACCGTCCAGATGTGACAGCCCTGTGCATAGGCATATAAACTCCACTTAAACCGTGACTGCTCTTCTGGTTTTAATCAAAGGCAAATGCCTTAAGAGAGAAATCTGTGCAGTGGAATTAGGAGGGATGTCTCTGAGGCATGTGGAGTGGGACATGGAAAGGGAATCCCCTTTGGTGCCAAATTAGGGCTGCTGATGCACTTGTAGTAAGCTCAGCTGGTGATGCTACAGCGCTAAGCAGGTGGAATGCATGGCCAAGCTGTGGCTGTGCTCACCCTGCAAACCCTTTGCTTCACCCTCGTAAACTCAAGCTAGAAATACTAGAAACACTTTCCTCAACCAGGCACTTCTGGGAGCCCAGATTTCCAATTCATTTAACCTGGCCATGCCACCTGCCCCTGCAAATCCATCGCCCAAAAATGGAGGATATTTACCCATATGTGTATCTACCCATAACTGGCCAAGAGCACACAAATAACCCACCACTCAGCCTGGCTGCAACCCAAGATAAGTCCCATAGCCCACATCACAAGGAGGAGACCCTCCTGTAACTCCTGTAATTTAGCCTTGAGAAATACAGATGTGCCTCACTGCAGCAACCCCTCTCTTTGCTGCCTTCACCTCCAGCTATTCTCAGTTCCTTTTCACCCATGTGTCAGAGAAATTTTCACAGCAGCCCTGGTCTCCTGACAGGACATGGAGGAGAAGGAAGAAAAGCCCTTTTCCTTCTATGCTTACTGAGTCAGGGACCTTCCCCCCAGGCTCCCACCCTTGCCAAATTGCCTGTGTTGCAATCGACTGGCCGCTCGCCCTGCTGTGCTCCACTTCTGGGCCACCTAACACCCATGCAAGGGCCACCATGGCCACCAGCTGCGAAGCTGAGCTTGCTGTGCAGAGCAGGCACCTGAGGACTATGGCTTTGACATCACCCCTGCGGGCCAGGCTCCAACCTCACTTCCATGATGCAGGTGCATTGAATGGAGCTGGCAGGGAGCATGGGGCTGTGACTGCTGGTGTGGGTCCAGCGGATGGGTGTGCAGTAGAAGCTGAACTTTCAGAGAGGGGTTCTTAGTCCAGCCTGGAATACAGGAGCCTATTCCACCCTGAGCTGCCTTGAAACTGTCAGATGGCCCTTTATTATTTGATCTGATTCATATCTAAGCCAGGGAGGTGAAAGCTGTCTTATCCCATTACTAATCCCCTAAACCAGACCCTTGAGGACCTTCTCCTTGCTTCCCCCTCCTCAAGGCTACAGCAGGTGGTTGCAAGGCGAGTGCACAACCTTCTGGGTCCCTGCAAAGAGAAGAGTCCCCAAGAAGCCATCAACTACTGGCTGGTGAGCCATCATTGGCTGAGGAGGGTCCTCCAAAATGTTGCACATTATCTGTAGCTCCCCAAGGACTTGCAAGTCTTATCCCCAGCGTGTCTGAATGGCACAGCCCCCCGCACCCCTCCCACCCCATGTGCCCTCACAGTGCCATCACATAGGGTGCTGCAGGGCACAGTGGGTGCCTGACGTGGCACTGGAGCAGCCACAGGGAGGAGGGGACACCTCGGACGCTGTCCCACCTTGCTGTGCTCCCAGTCCTGCTAAGTGGCAGCGGGAAGCAGAGCACAGGGGATGGGAGTGCTCCAGCAACCCCCCCTGGGACAGACAGGGACCTGGGTCTGGGTCCAGTGGCCCCTGTCTGCACTGGCCAGAGCCTTCATGGAGGGGCTGGGTGCTGGGGCACCTCAGGGCTGCCAGACCGGCTGGCACAGGCACTATGCCCACAGAGGGGGGGAAACCCCAGGGAAATTAGAGCAAGGGGCGATGTTTGATGTTCTGCTCTTTGAGCGATTAATAATCTTTCGGCGTCGGGAGAATCAGCTGAAAATCTTCCCTAGAAAAATAATGAGCAGAGAAACATTTACTGATTAGTCTAATCCCAGCTAATCCTATCTGATGAGCATATATCAAGATATCCCTTAACTGATTTATTGTCCAAAGGACCGGTGGAGATGCCCCTCTCTGCCGCAGCTGGGGGAGCTGTTGGTGTCACAGCACGCACAGCACGCGTGTGTCCCCAGCCTGTCCCACCCCCTTCACCCCAGCACCCCCACGCCTGCCCTCTGCCCCACGCAGCAGCGCTGTATCCAGGCCACCTCCCCACGGCGGGGAGATTTAATCGCTCTTTCCATTTCGGCATCTATCGGCTTTCTCTGGAGTTTGAGCTTTTATGTTTCATAAACTGATTAGGAGCAATTATACGTGCTTTATCCCCAAACTTTCCAAATGCCTAGGCCATATGCATATTTAAAGGCTTCATCATCTCTCCCAACAGCTCAGCCTGAATGTAAACTGCTGAAATCAAGCTGATTCTGGGACAACATCAAAAATTAGGGTTTTATCCACTAATATCTGCTCGGACAGGAAATTTGTTGTGGGTGGTGGCCGGATTATGGCTTCTAATTACTGTGGCAGATCCTCCCTGCCTAGTAGTGAAAGTCTCCAATCCCACCAAAACTGTGGCAAAACCATTCTGGAGAAGCGGAGGTGCTCGAGGGGACCCCAGAGTCCCCAGTCCCCAGGTGGGTGGCAGCCCTGGGTGGAGATGCCCCGAGCATCCCTGTGTTCTGAGCTACACGGGGACCCCCAATTGCTGGGTGGCTTTGAGTCTGCGACCCCCCCCACACCTCCCACTTGCCTCGCACCCACTCACCTCTCTTGGTGCGAAGCACCATCGCCCCGAGAGTCCCCCCCCCCGCCAGCCCCCAGCGCCGGCCACGGCAATTATCCTAAATGAAAGTTATTGTTCTGCGAATCCCGGGAACAGCTTGCGAGGGGAGATTTGGGTCTTTCTTTAATAATGCAAAGTTAATGCGGAGTCCCCTTGTAATTATCTTTATCAGAAGGACCCTCCGTTAATCTGACCGCCCAGCGAAGGGCCGGATCAGGCGGCCCGTGTAAGCCGGTTTGTAAATCGTTTCCATCAACAGATGAAGGGAAAGGGGGGAAAAAAATAAAGAAAAAAGGAATTGCAACCCAGGTGCAAGAATCTGGGAGCAAAAGGGAGTAGGGAGGCCAGGCACCTCGAGGTGGCCCCAGCCCCAGTGGCAGGACACCTGGGCTCTGGGAAGGTGCTGTCCCCATGCTCAGGGTGCTGCACAGAGGGACGGAGCAGCCCGGAGGGGTGCCCCATCTGAGGGGGTGAAGGGCTCCGGGGTGGGATGGGGGTACTGGGGAGGGAACCTGAGCAGGGCACTGAAGGGCCCTGGAAGAGGGGACAAGGGGGAGTGTAGTCGGTGGTGTCCTGGGAGAAGACCTAGGGATGGCACCTGCGGTGATAGGAAGGGGGTTTATGGGGGTGTGTTGAGTGGCCGGGACCGGAGGAGGGTGTGGTGGTGCAACCCCTTCCCCCCACCTCCACCTTGGGACATATTTCATACGAGATGGGGGGCTGAGGGGGTCCTCGGGAGTGACCGAAGGGGACCCGACGAGGGGGACGCGGGGACTGCAGAGAACCCGGCGAGGGGATGAGGAGGACCGAGAGGCAGGAGGCGAGCGGAGGGGGGGAGGGGGGGGGGGCGGGGGGGGGC